GTTAGTTATCCGCGTTATTTCGCTTCTTCTTCCTTCTAATCTTCTATTTTCTTTCCTTTATTTAATCTCCTAACCGAACATATTTCCTATGGGCAAGGTCGAGAAGGCGATGGAGGCGCCTGTGCTGATTCCAGTGTTGGAGAAGGAGTCTCCAAGAAGGTCAACGTGGGGATCAACCGATCAGGCAAGGTGGAGACTGACGAGCTGCTTCTCCTCTTTTTTCTCTTCTTCCTTCCTGTGTGGTTTCCCCCTTCCCTCTCAGCGATTTCTCATTTCTTTTCCTTGACGACAGTGATGATGATGATGATGACGAATGCGAGATTCAGAACTTAGACAAGGCCAGAGGTCGAGAGGACGTGGATGCGGAACAGGATAACGGCGACGACGTCTCAACCCTAACTGCTGCAGAAGTCGTGTTAGTTGACTATTGAGCCCCCTTCTCCTGTGCCCTGGTTGGTGCTTCTCTCATAAGGGGAATCCACTAGGTTTGTTTCCCCTATCATCCATTTTTTGGGCAAGATGCTTATCTACTTTGGAAGTCTAGGAAAGTTGCACTTGATATATATGTGTTGAGTTTTCATAAAGTATGCTGCCTTCGCATTAGTAACATTATCATCTCCATATCATCAGTGATGTGTCTCAAATTCCTCAGTTGCTGAATAGATCCATTGCAAGGTCCTGCTCATGCTTTGAGCTTGAGAATGTTTTTGTGCCCCAGAATTATGATACTGGGTTTGAATCTGTGTTAGAAACACATGTTTTTTTCTATTAAAATGCCATATTCTTTATTCTTAAAACAAACTGGCTTTGTGCAGGTAGCCTTAGGATTTTGCTTCTGTGAAGTTCATACGCAAAAGGGAACTGTATGATTTGAGATGGTTCAGCCGGAGTTCATGACAGTGGGAAAGCAGACTGATGCAGGTAGTGTGGATTTCATGCTGGGTTTATGTAGGATATGTGATAATTTCCTTGGGGCTTCAAAGATTGCTCAGGCTGAAATGACTCAAACTCTCCAATTTTTGTTTATGTAGTTAATAGAATGCAGTGGTTTCTTTGTATGATTCATGTACCTCGACTAGGTTTTAACTGTACTGAGTTATCTGTTGCTCTTATTTTATGACGGAACTCTGAAATACACTGATCTAATTTGATTACTTGCCCATTAAGCTACCAGCTAAATTAATGGAAGTTACTCGGTGCAAATCAATATGACTTTTCCCTCCTGCTATTTTTCTGTGGTGTTTCTGATTGTTACTTTAGTATAACCTATGGAATATTGCAAACTCGATTGTTAAGCCAGATTAAAACTATGGTATGGAGAATAAATCATTGAAATTATGGTGCTATTTTGTATAATGTTCTTGATTCAAGATCAAGATCAGAACAAAATGTATGGAAGCATGGTGGGAGTGGAGTAGTCTTAGGCTTGAGTGTATATTTAGCCACTTTAGAGTTTAGAACCAGCCAACCTGAGATAGCTGCTTCTGCTAATCCTTGCTTTGTCTCTCACTTTTTGTATTCCATGGCGACTTGCATGAGGATATGGACTCAGGACTCGGATACATATATGGGTTGTTCAAACCGCAAATCCCCAAGGAGGGCCAACAGGAGCTGCTGAAGATTGGCTCAAGGTTTGTCCACTCAAATAGAATAAACAGTTAAAACTTTGCCACTGTCATCAATGCATTGTTTAAACCTGTTATCTTATTGCCATTTGTGCCTACATTCAGTCACCAAATACTAGAATTCCTTCACCCATAGAAACCATTACAAATTTTGAGAATTGGACATTATGCATGCAAATGCTATATGTTTTCGTTCCATGTTTGGAATGAAATCTGTCTTCTTTATGTCAATCCCTTCTGCATACTTGGACAATCGAATCGGTTACATTATAGCCATGTGTTGTTGATTCTGGATTGTGTTTGTGTACCCTCTGTGTTTGCATAATTTACAACGTGACACATTAGATCTCATTTCTATCCCATTTATATGTCTTACAGGGTGTTGTCGCTTTTTGTTTTTGGAATCACTTACGGAGTTCGAATGCGTTGTTCTTAGGAGAATGCTGCTGATTGCTATTGTGTAGGAAAGTATATGCTTCTTTGTAACATTAATCAAGATATTGTACACACTACTTTATATCTTGGAATTCTATGGTTTGTGGGTGCGATTCAAATGGAAGGTTCAGTGAAGCTTTGGAAAGTTCAGTTGATATGTTGGAAGAGGATTTTGTGGCTGCTCACAAGTCATTTCTCTTTCTTCTGTGTCAAGCTGTTGTTGTGACAATAGTCATTTCTATTCCTTCTGTGTCAGGCTGCGTTTGAGTAAAGGTGATGCTACGTGGTGTTTCTTGATGGGTGAGCTTAGTGTGGGTAGAGAAGTAGTTAGTTGGTATGTTGATTTTTTCAATATTTTTATGATTCTAGGTTAGTGCAAATCATAATATAATCTTCATGAACAATATCCTGGCCGAGGACTTCAGGTCCTGGACACAACCTCTTTTTGGAAGTATGATAGTTGTGTAACTTTCGGATCTGGACAATTACGCATTTGAGTTTTACATGCCATGTCAGAAGTAGCCTTCTTACTGAAGGTCTTACAGCTTTCATGTCATAAAGTTTCAACAATTAGAGCAAGAGCTCTGGTTCAGACATTCATTTCTCTACTGTTGAAGAGAGCTTTAGATTTCTCCTATCTTAATTGGTAGTTTCCTTTGTACTAGGCTGGATAGTGGTTGGTTTTCATATTTATCTTTCGTTTTTAAGTTATATATACAAGCAATGAGTATTGTTAAAATTTCAATCTCTGTCCAGAGTACAGTTAAAGTTTCACTTGATGACTTGAAAAAAGCATTCTGTCGAACTTATCCAGCAAAGTCAAGAAGTATTATGCTGAAGTTCAGAAGAGTTGGTACCATCTCTTCTCCATTTGTTGACATGAACTTGAACACGAGAAAATGCTATTGTCATTGAGTTTTGGAACAATAATGGAAGGGAGTGTTTTGTCCATGTTTTGTAGTTTTATTTCCTTCCCATAGTACTTCTAAAAGATATTAAACACGATTGACCATTGATTAACTACTCTCTGCGGCATAACCGCAGGTATTGATTCTATTGACTATGGAACTCGATATGCGAAGGTTTGCCAACTACAGTTTCAATATTGTGAAAATCAGACCACTGACAAGAATAAAACAAACTCATTTGTTGGGAACTCAGTTTACTATCAACTTAACTGCTCGCCATATGATTATGCTAATGCAAATTTAGTTCCCGTGGCGTAGCCGCGGGTATTGATTCTAGTACTTTTAAAAGCTTACAAACAATCTTATCTAGAAGTTATTACAATTGTTTTTTTAGAAAGATTGACGCTTTCGTGTCTAATTCATTAATAAGTAACAATCGTTAGCAATTATGAAAATTTTCAACTCACTGGCAACTGATTTTTTTCCTTCTGTGGTGGCATTCATGCCAAAGAAGATAGCATGATAAGGGACTGTTTATTTTCATTTTTGTTTCTTGTGATTGTGATAACAGAAAATAGATACTAAAGGAAATGAATCTACCATTTTCTGAGAAACAAAACATGAAAACTTGTTTAGCTGAGATTTTTATTGCATTATGATACTAAAAACGGGATGATGGAAAATTGTTTGAAATCAAAGCAAACAAAAGTTGAATGATTTAAACAATAAAAATGACAAAATAAAATTATTACATATAAAATGAGGAATTTTTTTACCTTTTTAGAGAAGAAATTAGATAGATATAAAGTTTCTAGTGATTTTTTTGAAATCAAATATAACATATTGTTTGGTATTAATGTTTTTATGTTTGAATACATGTTTTTACTTTTCAAACTCCATGTCATGTAGTTGGTGGCTTGGTGCATACTTTCAATGACTACTTTTGATTACACATCATGTTCTAGGCCATTCAGTTATTAAGTTAATGGTACATTTTGGAAGGTTTTTCTTTAATTCAATTATAAATGTGTTCCATATGATTTGGGAGTTCAGTTCAATTAATTTGTGAATATTTGAATATATCATCCCAAACATAGGAATTTATTTGAAAATAAATTTTGCATTTTAATTCATTTTGAAGTGAAGATTCACTTGGCTTCAAATGGTATATAAAGTGAAAATTTTATCTAATAAAAAGATAAAATTTGTATAAAAAGGAAATTAAAGGATTAAAATAAAATTATTAAAAATAATTGTGAGCAATGACATTTGAATTTTTCACCTTATCGATAATAAAAAAAAATATTGTTTTGTTTAAAATAGGAGAAAGCAGATCTTGAAACTGGTGGAAACTCTTGTTTTCGAATATAATAGGAAGCTACCTACCGTCTTTTGTTTCCAGAGTTGGAAACGAACATAAGTATAATAAAAAGTAAACAAGTTTTCTGGGTTCTGTTGCTATAGATTTTGTGAATGGAAGCATATAACAAAAATTATTACAAATCGAAACCCTATGATAACAAGTTTTGACATTAGGTTTTAGGAGTGAACTCTTTGTACGTAGGAGTGTACTCTTTGTAGGTATTATTGGAACAAAAATATGAAATTAACTGATTCATCACGTACGTCATTGATATTCATACACAATAATTAATATATGATTTCACAATAATATTCGTTCTCATAATGAACTGCACAGCCATACGGCATCTACATCTATCAGGGAGGAAGCAGCAATGGAGCTTCGGAAGATCCAACTTTAGCCTGCAAGTTGAATTGGCGAGTCATTAGCACAACCCAAAAAGTACATTCATGGTTGACGCTTCTTTTCTTCTTCCGGGCCGGGGGCAAATAATCATTTGTCTGACTGATGCAATTAATACAGGTTGTTAATCCTCATCCTCATCCTCATCTCCAGACTGAACAACTGTTGCCCCACTCTGCAGCCTTATCATCACAAAACAACCTCTTAGACAAAGGCAGAGGGAAGAACAATCAGTCAGCCACAAGGCAAAGGACATTCCCCAGGAGTTCATGCATTTAGCCCAGCCCAATTCTTGAACGCTATAAGTGCTTCCATCTTCCGGAAGTTCCTCTTTCTCATTTTCGACACCTTGAGCTTCTTATGTGTCTCCATAAATGCTTGTTTGTATCTCCACTTATCCACAAAAATCTTCATCTCTTGAGATTTCTCCACAACTTGCATCACAGCATCGAAGTACCCTCCTTTGACCAAAGCATACAAGAAAGCATCAACCAAAGCATGATCAAATTTAACACCTCCCTCTTTCTCAGCAGTCGATATCCTCCGCTTCACCTCGTTCCAGTGCATCAATACACTGAAGTACTTCTCTGCCGTGACATACCCATTGATGAGTGACAAATATGTTTGATCGTTCGGTTCATATTGCAGGAAAACCATCCTTCTGAAAGTCCTTCTTGCATCTTCTAACCTCCCAGCTTTACAAAAGGCATGAATGATTGAATTCCAGTCATGGGTCTTCACTTCGATTCTAGGATCCTCGACTATTTCATCCAGAAAGGCAGCCATTAACTCAGGCCGATGACTCGCCATCAAACCGGTCATTATAGTCAAGTAACTTCCTTTCAGTTCAGGTACTCTTGCCTCTCTCATGTCCCTAAAAAGAGTAAAAGCCGACTGAAAATCTTGGCTAGTCATTGCTGCATCGATTAGAGAATCAAAGCTCTCTGCTGACAAATGCATACCTGAGTTGCTAATCTCCATCACTAGCTGAGTTGCTTCCGCTGTCCGATGCTCTTTGCAATATGCCTTCAAGATCGGTAGATAGACCCCAAGCCCCATGGTGCTGCCTTGAGCCACCATTTCATCGACAATGCTATGTGCTTTATCTGATAATCCGAGACTAACACAAGAATCAATTATGCCAAAACCGATGGACCTTTCTACCACTGTACTAGGCGGCTCCAATTTCTGAGCTTCAATAATCAGATCTGCTAAATCTTTCACACTCCCATGTTTGAGAAATCCATTGATCACTTCGCAGAAAGTCTCCCTACTAAAATGCATAACTTCTTCATTTTCTTCCTTCAGACAACTTAGAATTGTAGCTGAAACAGACTTCAAATTACCTGATTTCACATACCCACCTATCAAACTACTATAAAACAAGCTACTGTTTGAAAACCCAAAACCCTTTATCAAACCCTTCAATTCATTTATCTTCATCGTATGCCCTTTCAGTGCGTAGAGATAACCAAGAAACCCAAAGCTGAATTCATCAGGCTTAATGTTCAAAACCGACATTGTTTCAATAACACGCTCAGCGTCACGAATCGATTCTAGTTCACGACAACACCCTTCTAAAGCTACATTACAAGCATCTAAATCAGGCTTCATAAATACCAACTTCTCGTCAACAGCAACCCTGCAAGTTTCTTCAAACAGCTCCAAAAAGGAACAGAAACTCACATTCTTTCTACTGACCTCAATCAGCAAATCGCCCCACAAACCAAATGGCATGAAGTATCTGTTCTTGAACATACACTTGATCAAAGCGAAAGCAGGTGCAGCAGTGTTGGCACGTACCATGGACTTTAGAACCATACGAACCGTATCGAAATCCAACAGAGCAGGGCCTTTCTCCACGCAGTAGATGACGGAAGCGAAAGCTCTCTTGAGATTGAGGGTATCGGCGGCGGATGCTAGGTGGGTAATGAGTGAATTGGTGAGGGGTTTACTTGGCAGGGCAGAGTTCGAAGTGAGGGACTTGAATGACTTCCACGCCTCATCGGTTTCGTTGACGAGAAGCGACTTTTCGAGTGTGGATTCTAAATGGGTCGCCTGGTCGTGGTTCAGAAGTCGCGTCGCCGATTTTTGATCGACGGGCGCAGGCGCTGGCGGAGTTCGCTTAACGCTGAAGATGGAGGATTTTAGGAAGGAGTAAACCTCGGTCCCCGCTTCGGAAGTATACCGTCTCCGTCGAAACGAAGATAGTGCTATGCGAGACAACATCGTAGAGCGGCCGCTGCAATTGAACAGTTCCGACTTCACGCCGAGGAAACAAGATGTAGCTCTGCGCATTTCCTCCTATATTAATGCTATAATTATTTATGATTTTGGAAAGAGAACCAATAAGCTGGAATAGCTCAGTTGGTTAGAGCGTGTGGCTGTTAACCACAAGGTCGGAGGTTCGAACCCTCCTTCTAGCGGTTTAAATTTTTCATTTTCTTTTCAACGATTTACCGGACCAGTCACCACAGCCCATTAGCTAAGCCCATATTCGTTGGGTCCATAAGAATGAGTCCGCACGAGTGACGACGGCTGCAAAATTGGAATTGAATCCAAATCCGGAAGTCAAAGCAAGGAAGGAAGTGAAGAAGAGAGAAAGGAGCGCCGGAGCTGAGTTCCCACTTGTTGAAGCCATGGCCGGAGGGGAAGTTTCGTCGACGTCGGGGCAGGTAATGTTAATCGAGGAATGGAACGGCTCGGCCTCGACTAAGCTCTTCAAGACTGCGACTGTCACTGCTTCTTCTTCTTCTTTCTCAATCGAGAGGTGTTCACCGCGGACTCCGCATTTCCTTCCTGCGTGTTTTATTCTCTCTTTTCGAACTTGAACTCTTTGAAGATCGCCGATTCTGATCGTTTTGCGGTGATGCTTCAGATCCGCTAATAGGTTCGGTCACGTCTGGCGGGGAATCCTTCAAGCCTTTGTGCCTGAGGCAATTAGCTTTCCTCTATTCTTATATGAAACGAAGTAATTAACTTAGCAGAGTTCTGAGTTGAGGTTTGCTGATTGATTACATGGTGTTATTGAGGCAGGGTTTCCCGAGCAGTGTGACGCCAGATTATGTCCACTTCCAAGTCTGGGATTCGTTGCAGGTATGGCTGCTGTTGTACAATAATTGTCAAGATTGATGCTTACTTGGTTTGCTTGCTGAATTCGGTTGATTTTCTTCTTGTAGGGACTTTCTACTTATATAAGAACCATGCTTTCAACACAAGTAAGGTTTTAAAATGCTTCCATAGCTTTTTAGTCCCCGTTTCACTCTGATTATAATTGTTTGTTTGGAAGAAATTCCCCCCTTCTTCTTTCGTTCTACCTTCAATAGGTGTGTTGATTGTTTAAGTCTTATCTCAGGCATTGTTAAGTGCAATTGGGGTCGGTGAGAAATCTGCCACTGTCATTGGTGCCACATTTCAGGTTTGACAGTACACGTGCAACTTAATACTCGCTCTAGTTCAATGTTCCTGATAGACACAGGATGTGATGTGATTCTTAATGTTGGAACTCCCGCAGTGGTTTCTGAGGGACTTAACTGGAATGCTTGGAGGCATACTGTTTACATTTTACCAGGTTTGTTGATCCTGGTGCCACTATGTTTCGTGAATTGTACAACTTAGATCAATAGGGTGCATTAAATTGTACAGATTAGCGTGAGTGCTTGTTGAAGCCTGTCTTGTGCAAGGTTTTTAATTATTCAACTTGTAAGGCAGCGTTCTAGCACTGATTTCACCCTTTGTACTCATTTCCTGTTAACTCGGTAATGATTTGCTTCTCAGGGTTCAAGCCTTGATAGCAATGCCAAAATGTGGCGTTTGGTTGCAGATCTTATGAACGATCTTGGTATCTGATGCCCTTCACCTCAGTGTCTCCTCTCTCTTGCTCTCTGAGCTTTCTTATAGACTTTCAAACTTGGCCGATGAACTAGGATTTGACCGTGCAATGGTCATCTTAGTTGTATGCAGCTTGTTGTGGTTCCAGATACATTAATGTCAAATTTCTTACGACGGAAAACTATCATATCACTTGTAGGGATGTTGATGGACCTCATATCACCATTGTTTCCTTCAGCCTTCATATTTGTAGTTTGCTTGGGGAGCATCTCGAGATCGTTTAGTAAGTTGGTTGTAAATCGCAGCATATAAATTTCCTTTTCTTTTAGAACATTCAACTTCTATCAATCTTCATCCTTCGACTAAGAGCTTCTCTCTCTTGTGTTTCTTATTAGCTGGTGTTGCCAGTGGCGCAACTAGAGCTGCTTTGACACAGCATTTTGCCCTTCAAAATAATGCTGCTGATATATCGGCAAAGGTAGCCGTGAATGAGACAACTGGGACATGAAAAAAAATTTTGCTTCTTTTTCCCTCCTTTATCTTACTTCACTCTTTTCCTTAATATTGGTAGGAAGGAAGTCAGGAGACAGTGGCAACAATGGTTGGAATGGCATTGGGGATGCTCGTAGCACGATTTACTACAGGATACCCTTTTGCAATTTGGTTCTGTTTCCTGTCACTCACTGTTTTCCATATGTATGGTAAGTTACTTCCGTTTAAAAGTCGCTTGATTTTGTCCCCTCTTTTCCTGCTTTATTTACAGATGGAAGTATTTCCATAGCTTTTGTTCTTCCTTTGTCCACCTAGCTTTTAACTTGCAATTTTAATGGGTGGATAATATCCTGTTTTCATTACTTAGGCACAATACCAACTTGGTAGGTAACGAACACGTAACGTTTAACTAACTAAAAGCTTAAATCAGGAATGATGGACTATATCTTTTGTTGTCTTCAGCAAACTACAGGGCTGTCCGTTGCCTTGCATTAAACTCGTTGAATATGGAAAGGAGTTCAATACTTTTGCAGCATTTCATGAAAACTGGCCACGGTAGTACTTCTTAACTAATTTGTCCTCTAGATTACATTCTCTTAGTGATCATATAATATGCTTGTCAATCACAGTTTTGCTAGACGGAAAACAATTTATTGTTTTCGCTTTTTCTTGAATCTTTTGTCCCGAGGACAATTTCTGCATTTCTTAGCTCATAGTTTGTAACATGTACAGACCAAATTTGTTATAGAAAGAACATCTGAAGCTGTTGCAGTTCTCTCTCCTGAACAGGTTTCTAGGATGGAACATATTTTACCCTTATGGACCGCTCCTCGGATCTCAAAGGAGGTTAAGCTGCTGCATAGCCAAGTCCTATTAGGTGTCAGGGTTTCCTCACTGCATCACAAGGAAGTGTAAGTTCCTGCTTATCATTGCATTTCATTTTCTTTGTCAACTTGTCATGTCCATTGTCATTTCCATAATCTGCGATCATTTAATTTATCCATCTTTTCCGTGTAAAATACTGACATTTTGCTTAACATGCTGAAACAGGATGGATATATTACAATCTTCAGGATCCTATTACAGGAAAGGTTTGATCTTTAACCTAACTGTCCATCAATTGAACTTCAACCAAACAATAAACGTTTGAATAACTTGACTGTAAATCTTCAGCAAAGTACTTGCTACTAGAAGTGGATGGGATTATAAGCATCATCGTGCATAAAGATGCCACTGCATCTGATGTCCTCCAGTCATTCATTCATGCACTTGTTCTGGCATATTGTACGGAAGGAACCGCCCCTCATGTAGAGAGCCAATCGTGGATGGATAAACAGTATGAGATGTTCATTTTAAAGGTAACCTGTGGAAGCTTTTACTGGTGACCTTTTAAACAATCTTGCTCTTGAATATTTTAAGCCTGCCTCTTCCTCTGTCCTTATAGTTTCTGTGTGGTAATATTACTGTCTCTGCCTCTTTCTAAGCTTAACCTTTGACCACTCAATCATATAAAGCTCTGATTTTCCCCTCCTTCCCTATATGTTGCAGCTAAGCTCATCAGGATGGAAAACCGGACGCCTTCTTTGCCCCTCAATCATTTGGACTGCAAACTGGATACATAGTCCTTTAAATGATAAGATTGATTAGGCAGCTACCCTTCATGCATCATTGTTTGCATTGATCGTGAAGCGATTCACCACTAACCTCTTCCATACCAGAATTCGGGACCATATCCTTAGGATTGTAGACAATGTTACACCAGAGTAATGTCAACCTCCCTTGTTCCTTCAATTTGCAACTTTTGTACTTACAGCATCTCCAAATAGAAAGTTAATTTCTCAGCCTTTTCAATTACCCCTTTCTCTATTATTAGCAACAAAAGTTTACCATATATTGGATTTGTAGGGAACTTTCGATTTTCCTACTATAATAGACAGCAGTGTGTTACATACTTCTTCCCAAGAATATTGATTATCCATGCATCAAAGAATGGTCATTTTCGATGGCCGGAAGACGCCATGAGGATTCCGACGGCAGCAATGAACATGGAAAGCATAGCCACAAGCAATATGTATGTTCTTCTGGAAGATTTTCGGTACTCTTTGAAGATCAGTATCCCCCAAAATGTGCTCACAAGTGGTAGTGCCTTGAAAAAAAAAGATTTCACCCATTTGTCATTGTTACCACCCACAGTTTTCAAAACTAAAAAACAGTCAAAACGACTGAACAAGACTGTTCAAAAGCATTCTCTCACCTGAACAGCATCTGCAGCTGCATAACCAGCAGCTTGGCCTCCCATAAACTGCAACCCATTCCCAAACCCACACAGAAGACCAGCCAGAAAAGCCCAACCTCTGCCGTTCCAGTCGTTGAGATATGCCTTTGGTGTCGATCTAGGAAGGTTCAGAACCGGGCGGTAAAGGAAAATGACATTCAGAATGATGGCCAGAACAAAGCAAGAGATGGAGAACCAGAAGAAAGCAGTGTAGACGACCAGCTTAGGAACTCCTTTCTCCAACGCGTGCCATTGATCGTTGGTTGCCAAGTTGAAAGCCGGTGAGAAGAGAGAGAAGCAGAAGCCGGCGAAGAATGTTATGGCCAAGCCTATCATCGTGCTCTTCCCAAATACCTGGAAGGTGGTAACAGTAAACAACCATGTAGTCAAATCGTCAATGTACAAGGAAACAACAGAGGAAAAGTTCTTATTGCTTTCTTGGATAACAAGAAACCTTGATGGATCTTCGGTTTTCAAGTTCTATAAGGAAATCTGCTGTTCCAGCTAACGCCTTGTTTCCAGTATTGCTACCATTTCCAACATTTTCACCATTTTTCCGATCAGTTGGTAAGCTACTGAGCTTGGCTTTGTTATCTGCAGAATTCGATGAATGGACAGCTGAACCAAAACAAACAGCAATGAAGAAGCAAGCCACTCCTGGGAATAGAATCTCTGCTCTGTTGATTTTGTTATCCAAGAAATAGTTTAAGGTTGTTCCTGCCAATGTGTAGCCAAAAAAATATTAGCTCCCTTTTCTGTATCATTCTGAAACTCCAAGCTCTGGAGTTCATTTCTCTTACCTATTACTACAACAAGGCTAGAAGTGATGACTTCTGTGACAGACAGGCCAACAAAAGCCCAAGCATACTGTGTGCAGAGATTGCCAAGGCTGAGAACTAAACCGCCAGCCATGGCAAAAAGAACTGAAGGCCAATTATCTCCCAACTGGAAATATGAAAAGAGAGAGAATTCAAGAGAGAAACCTGCAAACCCCATGGAAGCAATCTTCAAAACCCAACAACTAACCTGAGAAAGCTGAGGGAAAAAGTTAGGGCTTTCATGAGTGCTGCTCCCAATCTGGCCAAATGTCAAGGCTATAATGAATGCAGCTAGGAGATTGGTTATGGAGTAATCAAGGTAAGTGTGTTGAGGAAGGCGTCCTCGACGTTCGAGTAGAGTCAAGATAGCTGGCCATGTCCCCAAGAAGAAGAGGGACAAGAACATACAAGCTATAGCTCCCCCTTTGCTCTCCACCAGATACATTTTTCTGACACGCTTCCTCTGTTAGCCTGCAACAAGGTCAAAAGAGATTCCCTGGTAGCAAAAGCAAGATGTTCAACGTCAAAGTTGCAAGTCAAACAAGGAATGAAATTCTCTGGCTCAGGCTAAATTTGGTTTCTTTTTGAGAATCTATTGTGGAGCCAAAGATGTTTGCTCGAAAAGATACAAACTTTCTGCAGAAATGTGACACTTATCAACGATGAAGCCGAAGGTATCATCATTCAAAATTCTGTTTCTATATTTTTCTCTTTAAGCCTAGCTGTCAAACTTGCCTGGGAAAAGAACAATGAAGGAAATGATTAAGAGACTTCCATATTGAAACGTTGGACAAACACAAAGACAAGAGATGATGAAGATCTCAAGGGAAAAAGAAGTTCATCCCGAGTGAAGGAAATGACACTCATTTCAGTCAGAATACTACTACCAAGCTTGGAACTTGACGAAGAACCCAGTTGAGATTTTGTTCCTGAAAGTCAGTTAATATTGTAGTGGAAGGCTCAGAAGTACACAGAATTAATTACCCAGATCAAACTCTAACGCAGGAGTTGAAGATTCCTGAAACAACTTCCTCTGATGTAAACTGAGTCTGAGAATTAGTGTTGTGAGGAATCTGAAAAGGGTTGGCTTTCTTTTGCGGTCTGTGTAGTGTTCTTATTTAGTCCCCACCAATTGTGGTGGAGGGATGGAAACGATGAAGATCCTTTTCTGCTTACGGATTACTCGGTTATAAAATAATGCTGAAAGTCCATAGTTGTTTTTCTGCACTTGTCGTGTTGTTAAGGCGCCGGTCAAAAGTGGCAACTGAGCTAGTTGGTTTACATCGGCTGACATTTTCTTCAGTTATATTAATTATCAAGCAAAAGGATCCTTCTTTCAAACTTTTAGGTTTCATCAGCCAATCAAAGTGTTGGAGAAAAGTGAGCAATTGCTGAAGAGAGGAAAAGAGCGAAAGTGTCATTCTTTTGACAACTACTATAAGCAGTAGGAAGAAAAGAAACTGAGTTTGCAGAGATTTGTCCAAAAACGAAAAGAAAGGAAAGAAAATGAAATGAACTTTCAAGGGACAAATAAAGATCTATCTAATGAATGTTTAAAGGAATGAACTTAGTTCTAGGTTGCTGTAACTTCCCCAGATTGTTCCTCGGCATAATCTTTCTGTTCTTCACGCTGCTGGGTAGAAATAATCACACTGCCGGCGCCAAGAACAACTCGCAGTAAATAACCTTCTCTTCATTCAGCAAAGAATTGAGCTTTGATTGATATCAACAACTGCTCCATATCTCTCTATACACAGATAAGAAATCTAAGAAACTAGGTATGCTACTGCGTGTTCTTTCGGTGCCCAGAAGATGCCATGAGAACTGCAACAGCAACAATGAACATACCCAACATTCCAACAAGGAACACATAAGTTCTTCTCGACGATCTGCGATACTCTCCAAACAAAAGTATCCCCCAGAATGTGCTCACTAGTGGGAGAGCCTGAACAGCATCAGCTGCTGCATAACCAGCAGCTTGGCCTCCCATGAACTGGAGGCCATTTCCAAACCCACAGAGAAGTCCTGCCAGTAGGGCCCATCCGCGGCCCTCCCAATCATTGAGGTAAGCCTTGAAGGATGATCTTGGCAGGCCGAGTACAGGGCGGTAAAGGAACCAGACGTTCAGAAAGATGGCGAGCACAAAGCACGATACTGAGAACCAGAAAAATGCAGTGTAGACTACCAACTTAGGAACTCCTTTCTCCAATGCGTCCCATTGATCATTTGTTGCCAAGTTGAAAGCTGGTGAGAAAAGAGAGAAGCATACTCCGGCGAAGAATGTGATTGCTAGTCCTATTAACGTGCCCTTTCCAAAGACCTGGTCAATGAAACATGATCGTTAAAGAGTGTTATAAGATGTGAGAAGGAGCTGGATTGAACAATTTGGAATAGGAAGAAGAACCAGACCTTGATTGCTCTTTTGTTCTCCAGCTGTACAAGGAAATCTGCTGTCCCAAACTCTGCCCGCTTTGTAGGACCATTCCCATTCTCTACGTCTTCTGTTTCTACACTTCCACACAACACACGATTTACAATCCGAAAGGGATCGGAAAACATCCTGTGAAACAAAATAAAAGAGAAGCTACTTACTCTTGGCTGAAAACCCTTCTTCAGCTCCAGAATTTCCCCTTCTCCTGGAAACATACAAAAATGGTGAGTTTTCTGGCAACGATATTCAAATCTCACAACTCCATGCTCAAAAGTGCTAAAAGTGGGTCATTGTACTCAGTCACAAGCTCGGAATTGCTCGAGAGGCTTTCTAGCTTAGCTCGATTGTCAGCAGCATTGGATGAATGGACTAAAGAACCGAGGCAGACTGCAATAAGGAAGCAACCAACTCCAGGGAACAAAATCTCTGCCCTGTTAATCCTACCATCCAAAAAGTAATTAACAGTAGTACCTGCAGTGAACAAAAGATCACCAAAAATAAACCATTCATTCACCAAATTTCAGTCCCAAAATTACCACATTACTACAACCTTAAACCACTCAACAACCCAACCAAACACAGAATTGGCGAAAATAGAACACGAACCTATCACAACAGTGATGCTAGCAGTGATCACTTCAGTGACCGATAAACCGACAAACGCCCAAGCATACTGAGTCGAAAGATTCCCCAAGCTGAGCACAACCCCACCCGCCATTGCAAACAGAACTGAAGGCCAGTTCTCCTGTAATCATATCAAAAAGTTCACATCTTTAGCCTATCCTAACTTAAGACAAAGCAATCCAATTGAGCTTAGAATATCTTCTTTTACTTACACCAAGCTGGGAGAGCTGGGGAATGAAATTAGGGGAGTCATACGAGCTCTTCCCAATCTCACCGAATGTGAAAGCTATGATGATGGCTGCTAACAGATTGGTGATGGAGTAATCGAGATAGGTGTGTTGAGGGAGACGGCCCCTTCTCTCTAGCAGGGTTAAGACAGCAGGCCAAGTGCCTAAGAAGAGCAATGCCAGCAGCATACATAGTATGGCTCCTCCTTTGCTTTCCACTAGATACATTCTCAACCCACTTGAGAGGATTCTCTGTGATATCAGTGGAGGGAGTCCTGAAATATCCTGCAGATGGGAACCAAAATCGAAATATTAACCATCATGAAAAAAACCCCAGATTAGGGAACTACCCAAAAGAGGAATCTGAAAGTTGAAATCATGGTCCAAGAGAAAAAAGGAATCAGAAGTGGGAAAGAAAGGCTAGTCAAAACCAGAGACTGGATTCTGACCCCAAAAAAAAAACCCAGTTTTGTTTTTTGTCTGGTTTTACCATGGGATTCAATTCAACGAAAATGGTTCGCGGGAAAACAGGAAGGTGGAACAATGGTGGGGCGTAGTCAAAGTGGGAAAGAAAGCTCTCACCGATTTTAAGGGAGAGAAAGGGATCCTCACAGTAGGTCAGCAACCATGGAAACAGGACAAACCCGTCGAAATCAATGAATAGGGAGAAGAACTCTGTATATTTGGGACTGTTCCGCTCAGAAAGGTTGTTACTTTGGGGGGAATCAGGTATCCTGGAACTTTGAATCTCTCTTTTATTTATGAGGCCCGCCAAATAAGAAAGTGACAGAGAGAGCAATTATTTAGCCAATGAAGCGTCGAAGGCTTCTTGTTTATCCAAACAGGGGAAGGGCAGTTGCAGAGGAAAAAGCACAGAGAAGAAGAAGATGAAAGTTGGAGAGGGGAATTTGTAGTGGGAGGAAGAGAATCTTGTTTGTATTGACGGTTTTGAGCATCGATGAACGGAAGGGGAATCTACGAGGATTTCCAGATAAGGTTCGGGATCTCGCCGTTCATGGAAGTGAACACGTTTACGGTGGTTGAGGTGGCTGAATCTTGATAAGTCAACTTGGCTACAGTATTTTATTTGATTGGTAGGCATCAATTTTGCTAGAATAATATAGTTTATTCTATTATGTTTTTCTTAATAGCCAATTTCATGCATTCATTTCGGGCCAGATAGCTACAGCAAGGGGATATGGTATGGAAGAATCATAAATGAATCGGGTGGGAGCAAATTAAGTTGACCCTTGCGGGTAGGACTGTTAGTGATTGAGTTTTGTTTTATTTAGGTTCACTCGTTAATAACGAGTTGAGCTCGAGTTTGATTCTCTATAAACGAGTTGAATCTAGTCGAGATTGAACGAACTGATTTACCTAGTGGTGGAGCCAGAAATATGAATGAAGGGTGGGCTAAGTGGTAACGTGGGGATGAAAACATCAATCACACACTGGGTTCGAATCTTGGGGCCAACAACCAACAAAAAAAACTTGAACTGTGATGATTTGGGGGGCTAAGGCTTTACCTAGTATTCTATTTCTTAAATTTGTTACGAATTTAACATGTAATTTTACCTTATTACAAATTTGAGGGGGCTATAGCCACTCCTGCTTCTACCTAGCTCATCCACTGCATTTACTAAAACCTGCTTGACTCATCATTAAAATCAAAAGTTCTCCTCGACCTCAACTCTAATTTCTAATGAGACGCGCAATTTAATAAACCTATGGGTTATCAACAAGCCAATTCATATGCTATATATCGATTTTCTCATAAGTCTGCAGTCAAGTTGACTCACCAATCACAATGTTGAGACGTCTAATGAGCTCAAAACAAGTGAGTTCCCGAGATAAGCTCAACAAACCACATAGTTGAGCTGGCTCACGAGCTGAACAAGTCTTATCTCAAGCTCGGGTCATTAATAAACGAGTTTTAGCTGTTTCTTAATCGAACGAGATTTTATCGAATCGAACGTCGAGTCGTTCATGAGCGACTTGGTTCATTAACAGCCCTATGGGCAACTCAATCAGCACACTTGTCGATGTGGCGGTTGATGAAGATGACATCAATCTAATCGCTATCATGGTTAACAAGTCGGATCGCTTCTCAAAGTCTCAACTAGCATATTTGCAATTAGAGGGAATATTTTTTGGAGTGTGATCAATTATCGTCTAACGACATACTTCCAAGGGAGCATGAGTCTTAGTCTCGATCGTGGAAAAACAAATGACCCTACCCTGCTTTTTCATCGCATATTTGTCCAAAGTAATTAGTACTAACTATCGCGAAAGCTACCTCATGAGAGTCATTGTCAAATGATCCATCATAGTGAGGGGGGAAATTTGTTGCGATTGTTGGATGGTGAATGAGATTGCAAAGGATTGTCCTTTGACTGGTTCATGGAGGTGTCCTTAAAGCTATAATACAACGATCAAACATAAAAGTGTATGTTTGTCGTTAATTTCAAAGCTCTTTTCGCCTAAGCGTCAATTGGCCCAATCTGTATGCGAGAAACTGCTATTGCCTCAGCCGCGGAGTGGTCATTGCAGACAAGTTTCTAATTCCATTCCCTAGTACCTTCATTTTATCAATTTCGAACTTTTGAGGAAGGAACATATGGGAGGCAAAGTTTATGTCATTCGGGAGAAGGAAGATAATGATGCTTATGAAACCATGTACCCTTGCATGAGCCAACATCCTAAATGGTCTATTATCTAGGGTTTAATGTGACTCACAAAGACTTGCACGATTCCATGAGGGTGCACTCCCCTTGCGAGCATGACGAAAATACAAGTCTAGGAGTTGCATCTGCAAAAAAATTTATGTATACACAATACTAGATATTTTTTGTGGCAAATGGATGAGGAAACCAAAACGTGAGGTAATCTATTGTTGCGGCTCCGTTGGAGTATTCTTGATGAAGAAGGAAAAGGCCTTGCCCATGTGAAATTCTTGCTCTATGATGAACCCATATGCATTGATGATATTGCACAATTGCTTACGGTTAGTCCAAAGATGCACGCGCGAAGTTGACCATGTTGATGGCAAAGAGACGATAAGAGAGGAGGGTGCATTGAGTATTAAGCTTGAGGTCATGGATGGTGCTTGGGAAAATCCTCAATCAAACAAAAGGGAAGATATTGTAAATGAAAAGAAAAGGGAATGGTAGAAGGGATCACCTTGTCAAAGATCTCTCGAATGAGTAAAAATATGTGTGGCCCTCCATTCAGGAGAGTCGTGAATCGGAACATTGGAAACATTCAATGACCCCACTCACCCTGTTTGGTTGAAGCCATATGCAATGAGAAGTGTCTTAAGGTTTCACAATCCACCGTATTGTAAGCCTTCCCCATTAGGGGTGGGTATCAAGTCAGTTTCGTCGAACCCGAACCAATGATTCACTAGTAGTCTCAACCGATCTCGATCCAATCATGAGCTTGGTTTGACCCTTGCCAAAATGGTTATGTAGGATTTGACTTGTTCAAAATCGAACTCCCGACCACTCTGCTATATTGTTTTGTGCCTCCACATATACCATAATGGCGTAATCTCTCCTCTCTGGGCCTCTGCCCTCTAGATTTTGGATATGCTGCTATTGTTCGCCACTCGCCAATTTCTTAAGATAAATCATGTAAGCTGTGAATGAGAATTGAGATGGAAACATGAAACCGACCGAAAAAGAAATTGGTTGTAACCAAAATCAACTTGTGATTTCGTTTGGTTTGGGTCCTCCAATTGACACCCAACAAATTAATTGCTCAGCGAGTCGTAGGATTGCATTTGGGGTTCATTGGTTGGGAATGTACATGGGCATTGGGTCGTGCTTGGGCCGGCGCGGCACGGGCACGCTTCGAGCCCTTTTATTTTGTGTCGTGCTTGGCACGGCTCGTCAATTTTTGTGTCGTGCCATGCAAGCCCATTTGTTAATTTTGCTAGGCCCGGCCCGGGCACGGTTCGAATCGTGTCGTGCCTATTCGTGCTCGTGCCATGGTTGTATTCGTGTTTAATGAAAAGGACGAAAACAAAAGAGAGAATGAAAAAGAAGGTGAAAATTGAACGGGGAAAGATAGTATTAACCGATAATGTTTGAGAAAAGTAACAAATAAGGGGGAAAAGAAAAGTATAGCGAGTGTGATTTGACTTTGTTTAATTCTTTGTCCATTTTTACTTATGTTAGTAATTACGTATATATCTTTATGACACTTCTAACAACAACAAATAATTATTTTTCTACTTGTGTTTTGTAATATTTGAACCTATAGTTCTTTTTATATTTATTTTCTATCAAATAAATATTATTTTCGTGCCATATCTGTTCTTATACTCAATAAAGTCTCGAAAATATTAGGCCCGACACGACCCACTTATATACCGTGTCGTGCCCGTGCCCATGAAATTTAGGCCCGGCACGGCCAATAAATTATTTGTGCTCGTGCCGAGCTGGCCCATTTATTTCATGCTCGTGTTGTGCTCTAACCGTGTCGTGCTAGCCCGTGGGCGGTACGGCCGGGTGCCCACGTACAGTTGGGAAACAGGGAATGTCGAGTTGACAATTGAGTTTCTAATTGGGTTAATTACATGGTTGGTCACTGAGATTACAAAGAACGTTCATGTTTGGTCACTCGAAATATTTAAATCCATTGGTGGTACTTCACTTTACTTAAACCATTCACGTTTGGTCAGTCTCCGTTAGTCGCCGTCCATCGCCGTTAACGACGTCCGTTAGTGATGACGTGGCAGACGAAATCATTAATCAGCCCTATTTAACCCAAAAATAAGGTGACCCGACCCGTCACGTCACTGAGGCCTACCATGTCATCTGGACCAACCCAACCCTCCAACTAGACCCGACCCGACCCTTAAATTAAACTACCCACACAAATTAAATCCCTAATTCCTAAAACAGATCTCCACCTTCCCCTTTCTCAATCGTGCGCCGCTGTTGCTGAACCATCCCCTCCTCACAACACTCCTTCTCCTTCTCATAGTCGCCACCTTCGTTGCAAAGTCCCATCATAATTACATACATATCTCCAGCCTCCCAATCACCCAAACAACACCGCATGTCCTGTTATGTTTTGATTTATTAATTTCCCCAGCCAGTGAACGACTTCCCAAAGTAAGCAATAGCCTGGCATAAAACCAGCAAGACCCGGTTCCGGTTCCCCAAGGGCCGCCACATCGACTTGGAGAAGACAGCCTGGCAGTTGGTGGCATTCCGCGCGACCTCCGCCGACAGGTTGGTGAGCCCGAAGTAGATCTCGGAGTTCAAGTCATTGTAGGCGATGTCGATGGTCGCGCTGGCGGCCTCGTAGTATGATCTACACCGCTCCAGCCGCTTCCGGTCGTCGGCGTACAACGCCTCCACGCACAAGGCATAGTCAGCGGTTGACTTGCAGATGCCCTGGACCAACAGCGTCGGAGCTGGGGACTTTGCGACGACGACGGCTGTGAGGAGGAGAATGAGTGTTGTGAGGAGGGGATGGTTCAGCGACAGCGAGGAAGAAAATCGGGAGGAAGGAAGGCCGCGCACGATTGAGAATGGGGAAGGCGGAGATCTGTTTTAGAAATTAGGGATTTAATTTGTGTGGTTAGTTTAGTTTAAGGGTCGGGTCGGGTCTGGTTAGAGGGTTGGGTTGGTCCAAATGACATGGCAGGTCGGGTCATCCTATTTTTGGGTTAAATAGAGCTAATTAGGTCGGGTCACCCTATTTTTGGGTTAAATAGAGCTAATTAGACTATTCCGTCTGCCATGTCATCACTTGAAGGAACGTCTCTAACGGAGAGTGACCAAACGTGAATGGTTTAAGTAAAGTAAAGACACTTGGCTCGGTTTTGGTGGGGAGCCAATCAAGAACATATGAGGATTCATTGGCGTTCTTGGAGGGTCCTTTGTTCAAGTAAACAAGATGGCGGTCTAGGGTTCCGGGATTTTGGTCTCTTCAACCAAGCTCTGCTTGCAAAAGTGGCCTGGCGGATTCTGCAAAATCCAACTTCTCTTTTAGCTCGTCTCTACAGAGGGCGTTGCTTTGGTTCTTCTTCTACAATCTTGGAAGCAGGAACGGGTTCCAATCCTTCATGGGGGTGGCGTAGTGTTCTCTTTGGCCGGGATCTACTTGCTCGGGGTCTTCGTTGGCAGGTTGGAGATGGTTTTTCCATTCAGGCTCTCTCTGATCCTTGGCTTCCAACCTCTCCACCATCTATTCCTCAAAAACGGTTAGGTGCTCCAACTGCTTTTCCTTTTGTTGCTGCCTTCATTGATCTTGGTTCTAAATCTTGGAATGTCCACATGCTGAAATTATATTTTGAAGATGCTACGGTTCGTATGATTCAAGAGATCCCTCTCGTATGCCAAAGAATCACTGACAAACTGATATGGCATTATGAAGCTTCAGGGCAATTTTCTGTAAAATCATCCTATCACTTGGCGAGTAATTTACAGGGCCGTTCTTATTCATCCAAGCATCAAGCTTCTTTTATGGATCATAGTTTGTGGAATTGGGTTTGGAATAGGAAAGTCCCTCCTAAACTGCTTTTCTTCTTCTGGCAGGGTATTCATAGAATCATTCCTACTAGGGAGGCTTTGGTTGGGAGAGGATTGGACTTAATCCCAATTTGTCCGGTGTGTGGTCGAAAAGAAGAAACAATTGAGCATCTTTTTTTTACTTGCTTGGTGGCCCGTAAGTTGTGGAGGTTACTGGGTTTTTAGGAGCTTTGGAGACGGGCGGAGAAACGTTCTTTTACAGGTTTTATCAGAAATACGCTGAGCAAAACTAATGGTTCGGAATCAGATTATGTCATTCTGCAGTTAATTTGTTTGTTCTGGAGGCTATGGAAGAATCGTTGTATGGTGGTTTTTCAATTCAAGCAGCTCTCTCTCGATGTTCTTGCTCATCAATGGTCTCATCAAGTTAAGGAAGTGGAGCATGCTCTTTTATCTCCTACCCCAGAACCAAGGTTGTCAGCTTCGCTGCCTGTGCAGGTCTCGACTGCAACACCAGGGATTCGGGTTACTTTTGATGCTGCTACTTCCAATTGTGGTTTTGGGACGGTTGGTTTTGTTCTCTTTGATTCTACAGGTGGAGTCATTGGGGCTGCAGCTCGCCGGTATGAAGCAATTAGTGATCCCTATGTGTTGGAAGCCCTGGGCTTGCGGGATTGTATACTTGATTGCTGCAGACGTGAGCTCCGATCCATATCATTTTGTGGATATGTGAAATTAATCATTGACAAATGTGTGGCAAGAGATGCAGCGAACAGCAAGATTGGTGCCCTATTGCAGTAGATATTTTTACTCTTGGATGGGATGGATGTGGTTGATATTCAGTTCATTGGTAGAATTCGTAACAGAGCGGCTCATTGTGTAGCCCGTCATGCTCTGCTTTTGTCGCCTCAATTGTTTGCGAGGTTTGACTTCTGTACTTGGCTTCGTTATAGGGGAGTATAACCCCTTTTGTCCCCATGTATCTAAACGATTTTCTCTTCTTTCTTTTGGTAAGAAGTACCACCAATAGAGTTAAATATTTCGAGTGACCAAATATAAACGTTTTAACCATTCTAATTAGTTCGCCATTTTTTTTTTTTTGGTTGGAAGTTCGTCAATTTTTTATTGCTTCGTAACAAAAAATAGAGGAATGGGCCAAATAAGAAATAGAGATTTTTTCAGAAATAGCACAGTTTAAAAAATAAATTCCAAAAATAGCACCCAACTCCGAAAAATTCCAAAAATAGCACCATTTTTGTAAAACCGCACCCGGAGGTGCGTTTTTTTATGAAAACACCACCCGAGGGTGCGCTTTTCGATGAAAACCGCACTGGTAGGGAGCGGTTTTGCAGACCGCACCCCCAGGGTGCGTTCTGTCTTTTTTTTTTTTTTTTGCAAACCGCACCCCCAGGGTGCGTTCTGTTTTTTTTTTTTTTTTTTTTTTTTGAAAAATCCTAACTTAGGTGAAAACTTCAAACGAACGTATCTTTATGTTCGGGTATCCGATCGTCGCGATTTTTTTTTTTTATTCCGCATAACTTTTTGAGATCTTGCAAGCCGAAGACTGCCAAAGGTGGTTTGGTCTCGCCTTCGTCCCAAAAAATGTCGTTTGCTACCCTGAACGAAATTTTTTCCGATTTCGTCAAACTTTGGACAATCATAACTTTGTGCTCCAAAATCCAAACGTCATGAAATTTTTTTTTTATTTCGCATAAATTTTTAAGGAATACAACTTTTATCTAGACATAATTTCAAAATGTACGTGGATTGCTGAGAAGGGAAGATAAGCTATTCCCAAAATCCTGTATATCCAAAAATAATTCATGTTTTGAAAATACATTCCTAGTAAAAATTGTAGTCCTTAAAAAGTTATGCGAAATAAAAAAAAAAAAGTCATGTCGTTTGGATTTGGAGCACAAAGTTACGGTTGTCCAAAGTTTGACGAAATCGGAAAAAAGCTCGTTCGGGGTAGCAAACGACATTTTTTGGTATGAAGGCGAGACCAAACCACCTTTGGCAGTCTTCGGCTTGCAAGATCTCAAAAAGTTATGCGGAATAAAAAAAAATCGCGACAATCGGATACCCGAACATAAAGATACGTTCGTTTGAAATTTCCACCTAAGTTAGGATTTTTCAAAAAAAAAAAAAAAACAGAACGCACCCTGGGGTGCGGTTTGCAAAAAAAAAAAAGGCATAACACACCCTGTGGGTGCGGTACGCAAAACCGCTCCCTACCAGTGCGATTTTCATCGAAAAACGCGCCCTCGGGTGGTGTTTTCATCGAAAAGCGCACCTCCGGGTGGCGGTTTTACAAAAATGGTGCTATTTTTGGAATTTTTCGGGGTTGAGTGCTATTTTTGGAATTTATTTTTTAAACCGTGCTATTTCTGGAAAAATCTCTAAGAAATAACCCTCGCCAACCTACATTGAGCATATCAATTCTGTGAGGGTTGCACAAAAGGGTACACACCCGTAATCTCAATCTGAACAATCGAAATTAAGTAGTGCACTAGGCTCCAATAAAAACGTTACCAAACCCACAAAAGATCAAGCACCACCAAGCAACAAAATCTATGGTCCATAACAACATAAAATGTCTCCCAACAAAAATTTTCTGAATTAACAATACTAGTAATCTTGATCCCTCGTAAGATGGGAGAACATAAAGCGGCACAAAACTACAACTTCAACCTTACAAAAGTGACCAAAACAAGAACACAAGCATACCACCTCTTCAGAAGATCCTCACTGGCTTTCCCATGGTAGTCTTCAAGTTCAGAACCTTAACCTGAAAATTTTCCAACACCAAAAACTTCAGTCGGACGAAAGAACAGAGTTCCGGAAAGAAAAGTAACCAACAATAGACATCGAAAAGAAGAAAGCCAGTTTTAGACTCACATTCTGCCAGTTCTTCTTGAGCAGGGAGACCAAGAAATTGACACTCATCTGAACATTTTGGAAGATCTGCTTCTCATCCATGCCGAGGTTTCCAACTGCGACACCCATGCACAGAACCTTCTTCAACTGGAACTTAACAGTTGCCTTGATCTCATTGACCTTAGCCTCCAAGGACTCTTGGTGACTGACAAGAGTAGGGAACTTTCCTGCATATTCGGGAAGCAATCAAGTTGAGGCATATTCAGGACCCAGCAGAAACATAACGCAACGGCATAAATGAATGGGCAAAATCTTTATTGAATAACTTGCCGGCCTTGTTGAGACCAGGCCCCAGAAGACGGGGGATCTGCTTGATGACAGATTCAGAAGCCAAAAATGCATGGTAGGACTTGGCGAGCTTCTTAACCAACTTCTTGTTTTTGTTCAGCTTCTTCAAGCTCTCAACATCCATGGACTCCAGATTCAATTTGTTGGCCTGGTGAAAGAGGAAGGTAGTAATAAGTCAGGGTTTGGATCTCGATTAAAAGAGACAGTGTGGAATACAAGATAAGATCACATCTCGCACCATGAGAAACAAGAGACCGAGCAATTAATGAGAAAAGGGGGCAGTAGATAAACAAACGGTTAGGTTTCTCATGTCTCACAAAGACATAAACTCAACCAAACAGACATACAATTCAACTCCAGTAAAACTTAACCATCAAAGAGAGATCGCAACTACCTCTTCGACATGCTGGGCATCTCCAAGCATGCAGACCTTCATCTTAGGACGAGGAATGTGAGGTAACTTGACCGACCCACTGAAACGCTTATCCTTTTGGGGATCATAGTTCTTCAGCCCAATCTGCAGCTCAACAGTCTCGGTAAACTTGCGTGGCTTCTCTTCAGCTTTAGACCTAATGGTGCTGATGGCCTCTCTCAGAGCCTCACTCTGAAGCTTACTGAAGTGCAAAAAAAAGAACATAAATGTCAAACATGGATCATGAATAAATAGCTTATGAACACTGACACCACTCAAACTGCGTTAAAGCATGGAAACCCTAACAGAATGGCATCTCATATGTAGAAGTACTAACATCAGAACAACCCAGTTCCAATTTTCAACTTAAAGCAGTAATAAGATTCTTCCTCCAAACACATATAAAACAGAGCTAAAGAAGCATGCAAACCATATGGAATTGCAACCATATTGCGAATCACGGAAAAATTAACGGGAGAGAAAAGGAGCCATATGAATCGTACCTCATGGTTTCAAGCAGAGAAAAGGAAAAACCCTACCTGCGAACAAAATCATCCAGACAAAAGTCAAAACCAGAGCTCGAAGACAGATCTACTATTTCCCAAACAATTAAACAGGCTGCGTATCAAGAGTCACCCGTCGCCTAAACAACAATGAAAGATTGAGCAAGCGAAGAAGCGACCGAAATGCACGAGAGAGGGAGCGAGGACGTACCAGTAAATAGAAGCGAGTGAGACGGCAACTCTGGCACTCGCAGTGACGGAGAAAGAAAGGGCAGGTGCGGCGTTGGAGATAAAAATATAAACGCGCCTCCTTCTAAAACCCTAGTAGGTTTCTGGAGGTGGATCTCGGCCTGGGCTGGGGGTACTTCTCTGTGTAATGGGCTGAAATTGCCCATTAGTTTATTTGAGGCCCGCATGCATAGGTTTGTTCCGAGACCTACATGGCTTCAATTTTGTCCTTCTTGGTAGACATATGTGGAACTTGCTCATCAGGCCTCACTATTGGCTAGAGTGTTGACCGAGTATTATCCTAACTATGAGATTTTGGAGGTGGTTGTAAAAACTGAAAAGCAACACAGAACGCAAACGATTTACGTGGTATTCCCGTTCGTTGTGAACTGGACTAATTCACGGAGAAGAAACCCTTCTTAGTTCTTTCTTATTATTATTGGTGCTGCATACAGATTACAAGAAGAATGCAACCTATATATACTTAACCCTAATGCCACAAAAACCTAGGGTTAAGGCGTAGGAACCATAATGGTAAAATGCTAAAATGGTCCCTACTAAAACACAGCGTATCCTTTACCCCCCCCCCCCCCCCCCCGCGCGCGCGCAAGCGGAGCATGCAGGTCACAAATGCCCAGCTTGGAGAGAAGGTAATAAAACTGATCACTACCTAAACCTTTGGTGAAGATATGGACGAGCTGATCTCGGGAAGACACCTTGGCATGTAGGATAGTACGTGCAGTGACATGATCCCGAACGAAATAGCAATCAAGTTCAACATGCTTAGTCCGCTCATGAAAAACCGGGTTGATAGCAATGTGCAGAGCTGCCTGATTATCACAGTGAAGAGGAGTGGGACCAGGTTGAGAGACACCCAACTCAAGAAGAAGAGCACGAAGCCAAAGGATCTCACTAACGGCACCAGCCATAGCCCGATATTCGGCTTCAGCAGAAGACCGGGCAACAACTGTTTGCTTCTTAGTGCGCCAGGAAACTGGAGCACCCCCCAAAAGAATAAAGTACCCAGAAGTGGATCGTCGAGTAAGCTGGCACCCAGCCCAATCAGCATCGCAATACGCCGTCAACTGAAGATTACCAGTAGAAGGAAGTAGAATACCCTGACCTGGAGCATTCTTAAGGTAACGAAGAACCCGGTCAGCAGCTACAACATGAGCAGGAGACGGGTCATGCACAAACCGACTAAGAATATTAACGGCATAGACGATATCGGGTCTAGTGACCGTTAGATACTGCAAACGACCAATCAGATGGTGATAAGGCGATTGGTCAACCTCACGTGACGAGGCAGTGTCACCGACAGTGACCGGAGAGGGACGTGTTAACTGATGATTCTGTTCAACAGGCGTGGAACTCGGGCGCCCCCCCCCCCCCCCCGGTAAGCCCGGCATCCTGCAGTAGATCAAGTGTGTACTTACGCTGGCTCAAGAAGATGCCCTTCTGTGAGCGAGCAACCTCAATCCCCAAAAAATACTTAAGAGAACCCAAACTCTTGATGCCGAACTGAGCATCCAAGGTATCCTTAACCGTCTGAATAAAAGCATCATCACCAGCAAGAACAACATCGTCAACGTAGATGAGAGCAGTGACAAAGCTAGTAGCGGTCCGTCGAACGAACATCGAATAATCAGCACGAGATCGAGTGAAACCCATACCTAATAGAGTCGAGGTGAATTTGGCATACCAGTTGCGTGATGCTTGCTTCAAACCGTACAAAGACTTGTGCAGGCGACAAACTCGAGTGTCACCAGGAGCGGCAAAACCCGGAGGAATTTTCATGTAGACTTCTTCTTCAAGGTCACCGTGAAGAAAGGCGTTGTTTACGTCAAGTTGATGAACAACCCAGCCACGAACAGCGGCAACAGCCAGTAAAGCCCGAACACTGACCAGCTTGGCCACCGGGGCATAAGTATCATGATAATCAATTCCCTCAACTTGCGTGAACCCTTTGGCGACAAGTCGGGCCATGTAGCGCTCCACGCTCCCGTCAGGCAAGTATTTAATTTTATAGACCCATTTAGGGATGATCGCTTTCTTCCCCGGAGGTAACTCCACAAGGGACGGGGTATGGTTCGCCTCCAATGCCCTCATTTCACGTTGCATGGCTGCTCTCCATTCAACATGGCAAATTGCCTCATGAAAATGGTTGGGCTCAGGAACCTGCGACACGAAAGCCAGGAAAGCTTGATGACCTAGGGAGAAGGCATGATAGCTAACTTGGCGTTCAATAGGATGAGGCATGTTGGAGGGTGGGAGATCCGTGGCGTAAACGTCGAAGTGACGGGGCACAGTACGATCGCGCAAACTGCGACGCAAGGGGGGTGCATCTGGGGACGACCTCGCTGCTGGATCAGGAGGATCCTCGTCTAATGAATCATTCCCCAAATCAGACTCGCTATCGGAGGCGGCAGATTCATGTTGATCGGCCACAGCCGCCACTTCCCGAGATAAAATAGCCTCGTCGGGAGAGCTATCAACGACAGGAGGGGAAGAGGCTTGTGGAATGGTGGCCGAGGGCGGTACAGAGCTCCCAGACGAAGTATGAAATGAGAAAACATGCTCAATGAAGACCACGTCACGGCTAACATAGAATCGGCGAGCCGCAGGATCCCATAAACGGTAACCCTTTTGTTGCGCTGGATAGCCAACAAAAATAGAAGGGTGACCTAGTTCAGCAAATTTTGAGAGCCCTTAATGCGTGTCTTTTCCATAGGCCAAACACCCAAAAATACGAAGATGACCATACGTCGGAGGGCGACCAAAAAGAAGCTCATACGGAGTACGATTCCCAAGAACCTTGGAAGGTAACCGGTTGATCAAGTAAGTGGCAGTAAGAACCGACTCGCCCCAGAATTTCAACGGTAAATTCGCACGAAACATCAAAGCACGAGCAGTCTCCAGCTGGTGACGATGCTTACGTTCAACCACCCCATTCTGCTGCGGGATATCAGTACATGAAGTCTGGAGAAGAATAGCACGAGCCTCATAGAGGGATCACAGTCGATCAGTTTGAAATTCCATCCCGTTATCTGCCTGAATACGAGTAACTCCCTGCTGAAACTGAGTTTGAGCCATATTAAGAAACAATTCAAGATATCGTTCCGTCTCAGACTTATACTGCATCAAATAAATCCAAGTAGCTCGACTGAAATCATCAACTATAGTCAAAAAAATATTGAGCACCACCATGAGTAGGGGTCTTAAAACCACCCCAAATATCCACATGAATCAACTGAAAAAACCGAGTAGTCTTGATAGTACTCTTAGGAAAAGGAAGCCGAGTTTGCTTCGCACGAATGCAAGAATCACAGGAATCAATCGCGCATTTATTCTAATAGAATCAAACAAAAACTTGGTCTTCTCCGCTGATGCCCCAAGCGCGAATGCCAAATCTCATCCATCCGTTGACCACCAATGGACGCAGCCAAAGCCCTCGACCTGGTGCCGCCAAACAGCTGAAGATAATAAAGACCATCGCGAAGCTTCCCACTACCAATCATCCTCTTGGAGTGTAAGTCCTGGACGACGCAAAAATCGTGCAAAAATATCAATGCCACGTCAAAATCTTGCGTTAACCTGCTGACAGATAGGAGATTGCATTTAAAAAGGGGTATGTTCAACACGTGACTGAGTTTCATTCCCCGGGACAACCTAACATCACCAATCCTGGTTACCGGAATACTCTCACCGTTGGGTAGTTTAACTGGAAAATAGCCTATGACATTTTCTGAATTCTCCAATATACTAGAATCATTGGTGATATACTCATTGCAACCAGAGTCGATAACCCACTCAGTAGAACAGAATTCCTTACCAGCCATGTTTGTCGTGGGCTCGGGGTTTGATGAAGTGCCTTGACCACCTGTTTGACTCAGGAACTAGACAAGTTGCTGGACTTGTTCGCCAGAGAGACCCGGGATCTTAATCCCAGCCGCGGAAGGCTTTGATGCCTGGGCAGCTCGAGGTGTTTCTTTCCGCTGTGGGCGCTTGCTACCCTTCTCTGTTGGGCGACCTTTCTTCTCTTGCCACCAATCTGGATAACCTATAAGCTCAAAGCAATTGCCTTTGGTATGTCCAGACCTTAAGCAATGTGTACAGTGGACTTTCTCCCCCTTATCACCCTTATCATCACGTCGACCCTCGCGTTCTTGCCGAACTTGAAAAGCTGCCGCATCCACTACTTGGCGGCGACTAGCAGCAATATTTTTGTGCTGCTCCTCCGTGGAAACCAACCGGTAAGCTTCCCCAATATTAGGCGTAGGTTTCATAGATAAAATTTGAGTCTTAACAGGCGAGAACAAATCATCAAGCCCCATAAGAAAATCGAACAATTTGTCGCTCTCTAGATTGTCACGAACCCGCTTCTCAATATCACAAGTACACAAGCCGCAGATACACTTAGGGGTAGGTTTGATCGTCTGCATCTCGTCCCATAGACCGCGGAGCTTGGTGTAGAACGTAGAGTCTGAAAGTTGTTCCTGTCGCAAAAGACCCATTGACTGTAGTAGTTCATACGCGCGCGGGGCCGAGCTCTGGCCAAATCGCGCTTCCAAATTCACCCAAATCTCTCTAGCGGTCTTAGCATAGCGAATTGAGTTACGCACATCCTTCTCCATCCCTGTTTTCAGCCACCCCTTGACTAGGGCATCGCTTTGGAGCCAAGCTCCAATCAATTCTTCGTTCGTCGGCTTTGTGACAGTCCCGTCAACAATGCCCATCTTGTTTTTGGCGATGAGGGCCTCGGACATATCTGTCACCCACTCACCGTAGTTCGAATCGTTCAGCAGCTCCCCAACAAAGAGCTGACCCGGACTGTCCGACGCCAGAACTCTCAAGGCGGCCGGCATGCTCGGCGGTGCGCCTCCACCAGACCCGCCACTAATCGCACCGAGCACCATGGTGCTGTTGTTCACGTCGGCAGTTCCACTAGGATCCGTCATAGATTTAGATCGTCAAATAACCCGCTCTGATACCATGTAAAACCTGAAAAGCAACACAGAACGCAAGCGATTTACGTGGTATCCCCGTTCGTTGTGAACGGGACTAATCCACGGAGAAGAAACCCTTCTCGGTTCTTTCTTATTATTATTGTTGCTGCATACAGAATACAAGAAGAATGCAACCTATATATACTTAACCCTAATGCCACAAAAACCTAGGGTTAAGGCGTAGGAACCATAATGGTAAAATGCTAAATGGTCCCTACTAAAACACAGCGTATCCTTTAGTGGTGGAAGGGGTAACCCAAACTATATTTGGCAAAGCTTGCAGCAAAAGTCTTTGGCGAAAGATAGTGTAAGATGGGGAATGTGTGACAATCCGTTAGGACAAATGGATCCAAGAGGCCCCTGATTACAAATTTGAATCAACAGTAATAAGTTCATAATGATTAATCAAGGTGGATTCTTTGATAGATCAACCTACTCGGATTTTGAAAAGTAACCGAATACAAACACATTTTCAACCGAGGGATATGAGACTGAATTTATCAAATCCATCTACATGTTTGACCTTAATCGAATGCTTAAATATAAGGAAAGAAAAAATATAGAATCTGCCATGTTATATTAGGGTACTATTTCCTTCGTAAGAGAATGAAGGAAGGACTAAGATATTGGAGAAGAGGTATATTCTTGTGGACAATAAAATATTGTGGCACCTTAGACTACCACCCAATGTAAGAGTATTTATCTGGATATGGGGCAACAATATCATTCTTACAAAAGCATACATGGGTTGAAGATCTCAACGGCTTATGATGGATGCGCTTTTTGTGGACTCAAAGAAATGGATGATTCAATTACGGGGGACTATGATTGGGCAAGCATAGGAAGGAGACCATGTTTGATAAGAAGGATTTTTGGAATGGGGAAAGGAAAGAGTTGTGAATAAATGATTATGTGAAGCTCTAGATAAGGAGACAGATGATGAATTATGCTCACTATGCTCCTTATGGATAGTGGAAATTACATCAAGGGTATTCAACAATAAAATCATCAAGGGTTGTCAAATAGTCTTGAGATAGAATACTACCATCATTAAAATAAAAATTTACAAAAACAAGTTGTCTCAAAATTGGAACAAGGTTTGTCAATTGACAAGGGTCGGTCTAACCTAGATCCCCCCTGCTTATGGAAATAACAATTTAACCATCTATTAGACAGTTCTAAACTTGAAGAGTCAAATCACAAGCTTACCTGGATGAACTCCTAGAGGATCAAGGCCTCGAGATACCAATCCTGGCGCAACCTCGGGATTACAGGGGAGAAGCCCATAACGGAGTGTTTAAAGTGAACATTGGCGTGAAGGTGTTCTCCTCTCGATTTACGAGGATGGGTACGATGATTCGAGATGGAAGTGGACACCAGAGATTGCATAAGGAAAGGTTTTCCTCTAGGCCATGCAGGTGACGAGAAGTCATGATTCAATTCCATGCTTCTGGAATTGGACTATGAAATTCTCGTATCTCGTTAATAAGTTTAATCAAGAAGAATCATCGCTTCTTGAGATCGATCATGTGTACTAAGAAAATCATATTGGAGGCTGGAGGGATGGAGGAAGTTGAATGAAGGTTTTAGGGAGAAGGAGAAATGAATCGGCCCATTGATGGTCATGGTGAACTATAATCGGGAGGAAACGAGGGTGTGGTTTGAGAGACCTCTATATTCCTCTTTTCGCAACTGAAAGTGTATTGTATCCGGACATTAGGAGTGGGGCGATGATTCATTCCACATGTGGATCTAATCTAAAACGAATTACATATGATTAATTCAATCTTAACTTTTTCATCCTTGAAATTTCTTAATATAAAAAGAAAAAATGACAAATTAAAATTTAGACAGATCAAATCAAACAAAATAAGTTTTTTTACGAGTCTTTTTTCCACTTTACTCTTAGTCCAGTTCATTCTTAATGTCGTCTGATATGAGGCCGAATCAGATCATACTAACCTCTAAGGCCACATCCTCGTATGGGTGATAGGTGTGCAGGTTCGTTCTTCTTTGTATGCCAGATCCCATTCAAATTCTGGTAATCTGCTCGCCTCTTCATAAATCTTAGAACAATTCAATCTCCATAAGAAAATGACCATCTTGATTCAGCTTAGCAAGTATAGTTTTTGTTGTCCATCCCGATCACTGCGCGTCAACAACGAGTGGTGTAGCCTTTATTTTGGCCCTTCAACGCTTAAGTTAGATGGGTGCCTAACATCCCGACACCAAACAGAAATAAGGGGTGTTTCGCCCTATATACAGCCCTTCAAGCTCAAGCTAGATGGTCATTGAAGCAAAGAGATAGTGTAACCACAACCAGGGGCTAAAAAGCAGAGTATTAAAGTCTATTATAGCAATTTGGCTTTCTCTAGAACTGATTAATTGAAACAACTGCTACTCTTTGACGGTGTGTTGTACGTCGGGGTGTGCAACAATGTGGTTCATACAAGATCAAATCAACGTTTGAACCAAACCATATTAAACCGAATATAATTTCTTCTTCTCAAACTGTACAAATTATTTAGCTTCTACTTGGATGAATGGAAAAGGCCACTGAGCCGCATTTCCCAAAACCCTAGCAGGTTCTGTCCTCTGCAAAGTGCAAATTGTTCTTCCTGCAAAGAATCGTCAGGATTCTTAGAAACGTCTCGCACGTGCATGCAGCACACTGCAAGTGGGCGCTGTTTCATGTTTGTAGACGATTGACTAGAGGTAAAAGGTTATTTTCGCCTTTTACCCTGTGAGTTGTGGCCAGCTTCATTGGAGAACATGGGAGAGATCCAGAAGAAGAAAGGAGAGATGGATACAGAGCTTTCAACGTTTTGTTTTCAGCGACTTTTGTCACGCCGCATGAGACAAGTGAGATGGATCTCGTTAATTTAGTACAGCCTTTCTTGCTGGCATTGCATGGAGCTTCAACGCAATTTCACTTTCTCTTCTTTGCAACTTCAGTGAACAACAAGAAACATGTACAAAACAATTACTACTCAGACCAACTACAAACTTCTGCAAATTATCTTCGACCAATTCCGTAGTACCAAGATGTCAGATTTCGCTACGTCCGTCACAACTCACATGTCGGTACCTTGTCCAAGTTAACCTCTTTAGAGTGTACATCACCAGACATACTGTGCAGCAAGTTCCCCAAGAGTCTCTGATCAAGGACCATACTTGGCACCTAATAATGTGCACGATTTACCAACTGTTACTACAAGGACAAATTCTTGCACTTTCATGAATATTTGAGAACGCAGAGCGAGCAGTTCAAGAAGAAGAACAAGGGCTCAAGCTAGATGGTGACTGAAGCAAAGAGTTAGAGGAGAACATGGGTGGTCCAGAAGAAAAAAGGAGAGATGTATGCAGAGCTTTCAACGTTTTGTTTTCAGCGACATTTGTCGCGACTCATGAGAGAAGCGACTAGTGAGCGCCCTGATGCTCTATTATACATGTCCCCTCTCGGATCTCGTTAATTTCGTACAGCATTTCTTGCTGGCATTGCACGGAGCTTCGATGCAATTTCTCTTTCTCTTCTTTGCAACTTCAGTAAACAACAAGAAACAAGTACAAAACAATGACTACTAAGAGCAACTACAAACTTCTGCAAATTATGAAGTCATTCAGTAGTACCTAGATGTCACATTTCGCTACGTCCGTCACCTTTCGATACCTCACCCACGTTCACCTCTTTAGAGTCTGCATCTCCAGACGCACTGTGCAGGAAGTTCCCCAGGAGTCTCTGATCAAGGACCATATTTGGCACCTAATAATGTGAACGATGTAACAAAGGTGAACTACAAGAACAAATTCTTTCACTTTGATGAAAATTTGAGAACCCAGAACGAGCAATTCAAGAAGAAGAAGAGCAACATACCTTCTCTCCAAAGAAAATCTTCGTGTTGTCGGCTATTGCTTCGATGAATTTCAGCTCCAGAAACTGGGGGGTCAGCTTCAATTTGTTTGCTTCAGCTTCTTTCATCACCCTGAGATGGGGAAGGATGGAGAGTCGGAAGATAGTATAATTCACTATAGATTTTGGGTTTCTGTAGAGTAGATGGGAATGGTTTAACTTGGATTTACTTACCGGTAGAATGCAGCATCAGCTAAACTCTTCTCATGAGCCATATACATGTGGTTTTGGATTTCTTGCTGCATCCTTTCACTGTCCTTCTCCGTCAACTTCTGTTCCATGTGAATCTTGCTCACACTGGCACTTTTCTCGGCTTCACTGATAGCCATCTTCTTCGCTGTCTCTGCCTCTTTCTCCACCACTCTTTGTTTCTCAATAGCAATCAAAACCTATTGTTATGTCAAGAGACCTCACCAAGTTATTTCGCTCCATCGTGTATTCTTCCTAAAGATAGATAGCCGTTGAGAGGCAAAATACCAAGTTGGTTAAATTGATTGGTTACCTTTGTGCGCTCTTCTTCCATATGTCTGAAATTCTTTCTTATACTCTCTGGAATCAAAGGCTTTGTCACACGGACACTTAAAATTTCAATTCCAGGAGCATACCTAGTGCAATCAACCTGAAGCGCGTCTTTCATTTTTTCATCAATCTGGAGACAGCAAGGAAAGACCAGTTTTCAATCTTCAAATGGGAAAGGGAACCTAAGGACCAAAAAGCTAGCTCTAAACAAAGGATAGGAATTGGTTGATTAGTTCAATAGCGTCTTCTTCACTCACAACTTAAACCCATAAAATGGATCCGGACGGTAACAAACACAAATGGATTCGTAAGCATATAAATAGCAACTCTTTTTACGTACCTGATCAAACATATCGATATAGACCTGCTGGAGGGAATGAGAGCTACAGAATTGATTGATCTCATGATGAATTTTGTCATAAATCCAAGTATGGTCATACTGCACTCCATAGTTCAATAGGGTGTCGTATACATATTCTTTACGAAGTCGATTAACAACCTGAAAATGGTTATATTGGAAAAGTCAGTTTTACTGAAAGTGCAGGAGCATCTAACTAAACATATTGCAAAGAAAGAGCGATTTCTCAAAAGACTTGCCTCAATCTTTTCAAAGTTTATCATGACACCACCTTTAGTACCACATGGAATGTCCCTCACCTGCAAGTTTTGTGCAGAGAAATTTGACTAAGCACCATCAGGGTGGCTAAGTGGCCCATATCATTTATAATCAAGATATGTCAATGAGTCTCTTTACTTGGTCTGTCTGGAGGGTGACTTGAACTGACTCGTACTGGGTTATCAAAGGTAGCTTAAAATGGAAACCTGAACATAAACAACATAATAAGAAGATCACCAACATAATTCTTATCGAAGTTCTAACAAACCTGGTTAAAGAAAAAGAACGGAGGGTATATGCACGCATACCTGGTTCTGTAATTGTGTTCAAAAGGGCACCTCCTCTCCAATATACCCCAACATGGCCTTCTGGCACTTGATGCATTATAGTGAAGCTACTCTTTAAGCTTGATGTGGATGGAACCAGTACCTGCCATGTTTTCCCACACAAACTCTTTAAGCTACTCTTTTCCACTTGCGAGTAATTTTGTGTGTATATATATAATGCCACAATCTTTATATAACCTAAAGTGAGAAAAATGGACTGACAAGGCAAAAACTCAAAGACAATGCAGAAATGCAATGCTAACATGAACTCTTCCACGAATATCAGGTGGTGAGCTATCCTTTTTCCATCAATGAACATTACAGGAAGTCTGCTGCTTGCATCCGATCTATCATCCGTGATTTGATGAAAGGAAAATCAAATTGATGGAAGCAGCTAGCTTTCATTAGCATCGCATCTACTTAAAGCTTACCTGATCGTCAAGTTCATTAATATTCATGGAAGAAAATAATGAATGGATGTTCGAGCTACTTCGCATGGAAAAAGGAAATAGGACTGAACCAAGACGGACAACAGATGATTGGACAATTTTGTTAGAAACAAATCCGCAACCCAAATCAAATTCTAGGCAACGAAATACATGAAGCTGTAAGCAGAACGAGTGAAGCTACAATCACTCATGAGAAGTCCGATTTAAGACTCAATGGGGAACAAATTTCACCACCGATGAACTAATTGATTCCAGCGCCATACATTGCGAAGAACACCAGATTGTAAGAGACTAACTAACTGACAGCAAAATCAGAGGAACATGAAGCCTGAGAAGAAGAAAATCGAAGAGAAGGACACCATAGCTATGATGACTAGGAAGGCCAGAAGTATAGGAATGGGGTTGCCGGCGCCTGGAGGCGGTGGTGGAGGCGGCTGCTGCCGATGCTGTGGAGCGCTTACTCCTCCTCCTCCTCGCGGTGGTGCATCCATGGCAGTTTCTCAGTCAGGGAAAGCAAGCAAGCACAGAAGTAGGGTTTGCAATTTACTTTGGCAAGTGGAAATGTGGAATTAGCCTACTTCTTCTGACAATAGCAGTTGAATTGAATCGTGATCTTGCTCTCGACGTGGTTTACCGGTTTCGAATGGAGGAAGTGAATGATGTGAAGGTTGTCAAACCGAATTAAGCCGTGTATTGCTCGAATCGAGTTCAACCAATTCAAGTCGGTTTTAACAGAATATGTGAAAAATTGTCTAATACTAAGTAAATTATGCATATATTTGACTTATTTTAAAACATTCTTACTAATCTACATTCATATATTGCCAAATTATTACTTCAGAAGAAATATATATTGTCAAATTATCAATCCACATCTTCAAACCTTATTTTGATTGGTTTAATTCGATTTTGACTGGTCAAATCACCCAGTTTTTACTTTGCCCCGGAACTATCTAAGCGGAGTGTGTTCCAGCTATTCATAATTTCATATGACCGTTTCGGGTCAGACCAGGTTGAATCGACTGGCTAGATACTCGTTTGACAACCTTGAATGTTGTTCTGGCCTTCTGTGCTAGTTCCAAGCGGAGATTTTTTTTTATGGGAACCTGCATTCAATATATTAAGCCCTGATTTTCGTTACAGAGGGCTCAACCCCGCCTGAATCGGCCTCAACCATACACAAGAGAGAGAGCGGTGGGTTGTCCACCCAAACCATCTGATTATCCCACGAACCGACCGAGTGAGCCAGCAGTGTGCAATAGTATTGTTCCAAGCGGAGATTAAGGACCATTAGATCGTTGTAAAAGAGCATTGATTGATGAATTTTCTTTGCCAAATCGTTGTAGTTGAAGCTTTTGGTCGATAGTGGTAATCCGAGATAAATAGAATGCATGAGCATCCCTCGCCACAGACATTAATGATTTATCAAAATCGATTCTTAGCTTACTTATCACTTGGAAACACATGCCAAAACATTTTTGTGCTTCTTCCTTGAGCGCACCATATGGTATCATCGGAGAATAACAAATGAGTAACTTCATTAAGCTGTCTTTATCCATATAGAACCCATGGAAACCTCCTCATTCTTGCTTCCTTGCTTCATTGAGCTTTGGATGTCGTGGTGATATTCTCGTCGTCAACCTCCTCCTATCATTGTATCCTTTTCAAAGGGCTAAATTGCAAGTTTGGTCACTAGAATTACTTTAATGTTTCACATTTGTCACTGAAATTAGTTTATTCCATCCGTGGTCACTTAAATTAGGTTAACAGTTCAAGTTTGGTCACTGGCTGTTAGTCTCCGTTAACTTTTACTAATGTGGCGGTCAACTCTTATAGTTGACTGTTAAATGAGTGACGTGGCAATTAAAAAATAATAAAATATAATTATTTTTTTATTTTCATAATACTTAAAAAAAGAAAATCATAATTTCTTTAATTATTATTTTCCACCACCAAACCCTCGTCGTTCCTCTCCCCTCCGGTAGTCGAATCTCTGAAGGCGGGATTCGAAGCTTGCTAGCGTATCTCGATGGTCCTTTCCCTCGAGAGTCCCCTATGGGAGCATTGAGGAATCTGATAAACTCTGTCTCCACCGAAATCCTTGTCTCGCAAGGATTCCTGCTGCGATTGGTCCACGTGATCAAATCGGGATCGGTGGGGGCCCAACAGGTGGCTGCTTTGGCGATGTGCAGTGTGTGTGCTACGGCGGAGACGAAGAAGGTGGTAGAAGTGGCGGGATGCATTCCGCTGCTGATAAGGATGTTGGAGGCGAAGTCGAACGGGGCGAGGAAAGTAGCGGTGCATGCGATCTCGAGTCTGATGACGGTGTCGCATAATTGCAGGGAGGTAAGGAAGGAAGGAAAGAGCGTGTCGAATCTAGTGCAGTTGTTGGATGAGAGTCCGCAGAACACGGCGAAGAAGTACGCGGTGGCGTGCCTGGCCGGCTTGTCGGGGAGCAAGAGGTGCAGGAAGCTGCTAGTGAGATTGGAACGAGAGAAGCTTAGGAGTTTGTTCATTAGGAAATAAAAAGATATTCTTTCTTGTTCCCTGTAAAATGTGTAATGTTTAGCTTGTTAGGAAATTCTATTTCCTATAATGATATGGGCCACATATTTTGACAATTATACGAGCTATTTGCTTATGTGGGCTAACTGAAAGTGCCCAATTTGCCGATTGCGGATAAGCTGGTTTGGCAGGAGGATCTTTCTGGGTTGTACACTGTCAAATCGGGTTATCACTTGGCGATTCGGTGTTCCCGGGCTCATGATCTATGGAAGTCGGAGGTTAGTTGGATGGACCGCAAGTTGTGGATGGAGATGTGGGGATACCCTATTCATTCGGTTCTTTATATGGCAAGTGTTTCGTCGCATTCTGCCTACTACGGAGAAGTTAATATCCAAGAAGGTGCAAGTGTTGCCTAGGTGTCCTGTGTGCTGGGCGGAGAAGGAGACGATTGAACATTTTATGTTCTTCTGTCCGGTGGCAGTGGCTCTATGGGAAGCAGCGGGCTTGCAGCAGATTATGCAAATGTTCCCGCTTGAGCATATTGGTATTTTTCTTCGACGTTCTTGGCAACGGATGGGTCTCCGCAAAGGGTTGTCAGGGCGGTGGCTCTCCTATGGCGAATATGGAAGGCTCGAAATTGGGTTGTGTTTCAGGATAAGCAGGTCCTCATTCCGGTGTTGGTGGCGCAGTATCAGAGTCAAGTCATGGTGGATGGCAATCCTAGGGGATGGAGTGGCACAACCAGGAGATGGGGATATGATGCTCACACGTACCTCGCTGATCTCGAGTTTGCCGGCTGGGGTCACATGCTATTTTGATGGGGCGATTCGTGCAGGTGAGCGGTCAATTGGGATGGTGTTGTGTGATGAGTCTGGGAGGGGGGGGGTCATTACGGCGAAAGGCGAGCAACTCCATGGTGTTCAAGATCGACAATGGTGGAATTGGTGGCGTTAAGGGAGTCTATTAGGTGGTGTTGCGGAGCAGGTTTTCCATCAGTTAATCTGGCAGGTGACGCGAAAGGTATCATCGACAAAGTCAGAGCAGGGGTGGTTAATGATGTGCTTGGCGGGGCTCTTTTGGAGGAGGTCAAGCTACTGCTCCGTGATAAGCCAAGATTCTCTGTGCACTTTGTAGGCAGGCAGAACAATAGGGTAGCCCATTTAGTGGCTAGAAAAGCCCTCTCTTTGTCCCTGCCCATTTTGAGCAGTTTTGATTTTTGCGCTTGGCTCCGTTCGGAGGCCTAAACGTTGTATCTTTGTTATTCTTGGTAATACAAGCTCTCTTTGGTAAAAAAAAAAGTGATCCAATTAAGAGCCCAAAGACTTCTTGCATTGATATGGGCCTAAATGGATGGAAACCCAATACTTTCTCACTTGGGGTTTATGGGAGCTCATGTGAAACTTGTATATAAAGGTGCTAGAGGTTGTGGTCCCCAAGACACCAAGACCAAAAACAATCTCATCTTCTCCCCATAAGGAAGATGAGAGCTCTCCCGTAGAGGAACTGAGGCGGCTTGGTTGAGGAAGACTGCGTAACCTCCCGGGTCGTGCACTAAGAGGCATCGTCCGGAGATTGATCGTCACCGTTTCCGCATCCAACTTCTCACAATCTACATGAATCCAGGTATCTCCAACCAACCTTTGATAATCTAGCCATATGATATCCGGGGAATTACTTGTACAAATTCTGTTATATTTTAACAAGTGGCATCACAGCTATTCATATTTGTTGGATTATTGGGGTTGTAATATTACCTTTATGTTTGAATAAGTTCCATGCATGATCACAATTCACAACCTCCTCCTTTTTTTGTTTTCCTATTCCGGATACCTTCACCATGCTTATGTTTGGTGCATGAATGCAAAGAATGTTTGATTTGATTATAACATTGGTTTAATGCATGTTACTATTCGTCCAAATCCCAAATACAATCCTAGTGAAATATTCATTGACTATATCAATAAACAATTTTGTTCGGTCCATGAGACTGTGCTACTGCTTGTAGACTAGTGATTGCTGTTATTCCGGTGCTTGGACCAGAATATTTTTTATTTATTCCGGTTGCCTTCATCGGAGACTTCCAAAGTTTTACCGATTGTTTAATAAATATTAATCGTTTGGAATTTTGTTCCGTTGAGATTAAAACTTGTGAGATCATTAATAATGATCATTAAGATAATCATGGAAGTGCTTCTCTCCATGTTTGGGTTCAGATACATTATGGGATTTCTTCTGTTACTCTTATGGGGAATTTTGTGAGGGGTTTATTTATTCCCTACCGTAAAGACTTTGGTGTCGGTTGCAACTTTATGGGGAATTATTGTTATCAATCAACACATCCTCCAATAATATATACTAGAGTTTTGTCTATTTTTTCTGTTTCAAATTTCTTGTAGAGAGTGAAAGTAAGAAGGGCATTTTTGTCTGGTCCAAGATAGGGTCAGTAACCAGTGGTTACTGACCCATCAGTAACCACACGGGAGCCGTAGATCTAGGGATGGTGCAATCGTGTGGCTGGGCTGGATGCGGGGTGGGGAGGGGCATTTTCGTCCGTTTTTGTATTTTTAATTTTTTTTATTTATTGCGCATTTCAATGGCTGGCTTTTCAATGAAAGAGAGAGAATGACATTTTCTCTGCAACTCAACTTTCTTCCTTCTCTCTTCCTTTTTTCAATATCTTTCCATATCCTTTTTCTTTCTCTATTCCTTCTCTCTTACTTTTTCTCTCACAATCTCGTTTTCAGATCTAGATCTGCTCTCTTCTTTCTTCATTTTTTTCTCTAGCAATCGACGAATAAAAATTGTAGCCAATCTCTTTCATTGCATTTCTTCTCTTCATCAACTCGTTGGCCTCAGTTCCGATCTTTCTCATTTTTTTGGCATTTTGGTGTTCTTGATTGAGGAAGAGGAAATGAGAGGCATCATAAGATAATTTTTTTCTCTCCCTCCTTCTGTTTTTTCCCTCTTAAATAATATATATTGATATTATGACTCTATACCATATGGTATTGGGTGGTAACGAAATATATATTGATATTACCACATTATACCCTATGGTAATGTATGATATTGCGTGGTAACAAAATATATATTGATATTACCACTCTATACCATATGGTATTGTGTGATATTACCACAATATACCATATGGTATTGTGTGGTAACGAAATATATATTGACATTGCC